CAGGGCGGGGGGTGGGTGTTTTCAGCTTGGTGACCAGGAATAGCTGTCGCCAGGCCTGGGGTGAAAAGCGGAGGGGCTTTCGGTGTCCTGAGGGGCCGCGTCTGCCTTGCAGAGGCGAGGAGGGTGGCTGTCATCTCCCGTGACCTCTGCTCCGCTGCCGAGCGCTGTGTTTCTTACGAGGAATTCAAAGACTTGAAAAAAAGCAACATCGTCCACATAGATGTCCGCGAAAGATGGGAGATCGACAGATTTGGAAAAATCCCGGAGTCCATCAACATACCTTGTAAGATACTGAGAAGTGCTGCGTAGAAATACGCCGAATACATAGAAATTTTTTTTTGGGGGGGAGGGGGGGGGGTCCGGGGGTCAAATCTGTGAACAAATGAGGATGACTTAGCAAAAAAAACCAGGGCTGTGCTAAACAGCATCTAATAAGTAGTGAGACCAGACTTCTTCCGAGAGGAAGTTGAAGCCTGCCGGTGTAAGCGCGGTTGTGGACGGGGGATAAGTTGGGACTGCTTTTCTGTGTTGCCCAGTGAGCGAATTAGCGGAAGCTCTGCAGATGAGCCCAGCGGACTTCGAGGAGCAGTACCGTCAGAAGATGCCTGCCAAGTCGGACCATATGGTTTTCTCCTGCTTGGCAGGAGTGAGAAGCAAACAGGCACTGGGTTTTGCCATGGCCTTGGGTTTCAGCAGGTGAGCCTACGACTTCTGCCTATAAGGACGGGATTAATAAGGCCGCTGTGAATTCTTACTCAGCTTCTTATGGGTGCGGGTAAAAGTTTAAATGTGAAGCCTGAGCAAAGTGACCAATATTTGAGTTAGACGATTCAAAGTAGACGGTACAGGCTTCTTATTATTTATATATAGTACTTCCTTATGTCTTCAGTGAACCTTGAAAGATGCTGTTTGGTGTTTGAGCGAGGTGAAGGGTATTGTCCTGTGAAATGACTTCCCAGCGGCTCTGCTTAGGTGCTACAAGTGATGCAAGCTACTGCAAGACCATCCTGCTACTGAAGGGTCCTTCTACCTTTTGTGGCGGCCTCACCAAAATGTTGCATGCTTATGCAGCTTCATACACACCTATCCTGACATGAAGGTGACAGCAGGATGCTTGGAAAGGTGGAGAACTCCCCGTTTTGGTAGAAGTAATCTTAAATTACATTAAATAGTTTATGAAACAGCACCCTTGTTAAAGTTGCAATTTCTCCTGTACAGTTCACCAAAGACAAGATACGCCCTTGCTTTCAGTAAACTAGTGCATTGTTTGCCAGATATAAAATAGTGAAGGGAATAGTTAAAAGACAATGAGATTGATATAATGAAAATGAAAGCAGCGTTTTGCTGGCAGACTTCTTATGCCCTTGACAGAAGGTATCTCCCGGCCTTGAAGACCGAAGGTGAAATTTCAGCAATTGGTTGTTTGTGCGTGTTTTTACTAAACCGCAGTTCATGAACAGGAATAATTCTGGCAATTCCGTTCAAAAAAGTAGAAGCGCACTCTTGTTTTATAAATGTATTGTTTTAATCAGTGCAAAATGTTCTTCATTACCTGTTTTACATGCTGCCTAATTGAAGGAGTCTGTACTGTGTTGCATGGTGGGTTTTTGTTTCCTATGTTTTGGTTCCTCACAGGCTTATGTCAGATCTACATAGCGTGTGGGTTCACAAGGAGTTAAAAGATCAGTGTGCTGCTTTTATTTGATGATATCGGAGGTACTAGACATAATACCATGTAAATGTCCCACCGCAGTGAGTCAGTTCTTTCCTTTTAAAAAAGGCAGTGGTAAACTATTTCATTCGTGAGCCTACTGCTACTCACTTGATGTTTGATCTCCAGCACTGTGTCGTTTGGAGGAAGTGTGTTATAGAACACACTGGAGAGAAGCACTGTTTGACTTTCCTTGCATTGCATCTGGCTCCTTGAAACTAGGTACAGGTATATTTAATTTCAGAGGATTTCTGTATGCTTTGCCTTCTGTTTCCTTCTTTTATGCCCTCTTCCACAATTTTATCGGGAAGAGCCCTTCATAACGCTGATGAATCTTCTGTATATTTTCAGAGTTCAACACTATGCTGGTGGCTTTGAGGAGTGGGCAAAACGTGAACCTCCAGAGCAAAAACGAAGATGATGACTCCCAACCCCTGCCCCACCAGGACTTCAGGATGCTTTGTAGGTTTTAATGTTCAAACCGCATGGATTCCACTTCCAGAAGACAGCCCTCTCCTGTTTTCTTTTGTCACTGGACATTTACCTTTAAGTAGCCATGCATATTAACTGCTTGGTGTAAATCAAATCTGAGGACTATGATGTGAACAGAGTTTGTTCAACACTTGCTATGGGCTGTGTCCTTCGCTGGAACTATGTGAAGACAACTTTAATAGTTAGGATGTTTACTAGGATTTTTGTGTAATGTGGTTTATGTCTGTTTAAACAAATGGTGGTAATACTTTATTATAAACTTACACTTTCCTTATGAACTGTGTTGGGTAGTTTGTCGGGAATAGACTGCAGTTATTCTAATGCAATTGGGATAACTGTCCTAAGCACAAATGTTTTGTATAGCTATAGTTCTGAAACATCTGTTGTGTTCCGAAGAGTACAAGTAGAGGGTAGGATTTGTTAGGTTTGTACTGTGTGATTGCAAGACCTAAAATCCACTGTCGATCACAAAATACAACAAGAAACTGACTAACTGCAAAATCTTGTGCAGTTTCTTATTTTAAAAAGTATGTCTATATACACAAATCTGCTCCTGAGCACAAAATGCTATGGTATACTTTTTATGTTCCCTTGGCATCTTGGTGTCAAGTGAGAACTTGTCTGTATTTGAAGTTAGTGCTACAGAGCTGTAATCATCTTAGGGTAGAAAATTTGAGGTGTCTTCCTTCTTTCCTTTCTGTACATAAATTTCTGTGTCTTAAACTTTACGAAACAAACCAACCCATCCCCACCTATAAATTTGCATAGTCATAACTTTAAGAATTGGGTTTTTTTTTAATACTGTTAACAGTTCAGAGAAACTAGCAAAGCTGAATTGCTTTGGCCTCTAGAAAACTGAAGTCCTAGCACAGAAGTCTATGGTTCTGCAGGTTGTCTGGAAAAAGGAATTAAAATTTCACCTAGTTCTGCTTTCATCAGTATTGCGGGCAGCGTCCACTTATCCTAGAGCTCTTCTATTCTGACAGTGCAGTGTAAGCGGTGAGATGAAACAGAGGACCTAAAAATATACAACTTGTTAAGTTTAGAGAACAGACAAGAAGAGGTAAGTAATCTTACTAGAATCTTATTTGTCTCCCTGCTGTCATTTGTTTCTAGAGCAGAACTCCAGTAAGCGGGTGCAGCCAGCCGTTTTAACTGTGCTGACCTGACCATGTGTCTTTCAGCTTACGGGGGTATCTGTTCTCTTATCTTTTCTAATAATTAGAGAGAACTGTGGTGTAGCTGTTGTGAGCGAGTAATGCATTTTTCTTCAAAGTATCTGCCTCTTTTTTAGCAGTCTTACCGCAAGGCCTTATTTCCAGCTCATGAAGAGATAAAGGTTAATGAAGAACCAGAATTTAGACCTAACTTCCAAAATACTGGCTTTAGTTTAACCAATGAATTATCGGGAGTAAGACGAAATTAAAATACCAGGATGAGTGGGTGTTATTGTCATTCTCAGCTACTCTGTAATTTTCACTATCCTACTCCCAAAAGTTCTTTTCCATGCTGGATCAGGAGGAGTAACAGAGGCTATCATGTTTGTTGGATTTGGCCAAATCTACAATCTTTTAATTGTGCCTGTTTAACGTGACATAGAGTTATCAATTTCACAGCATGGTGAGCATGTAATCAAAGCGGCAACTGAAGCCCACTGTTGGCTTGGTCTTGCCAGGCCTCACCAGAACTAACAGTGCTTTTTGATGTAGATCATTAAGATCAGATTGAGTTTGAAACACTGGAAAGTATTTAGCTAAACGTCTATGCAGTCATGCCTAGCTGTATTGACCGAATCACCAAATTTTAGCGAACAGATGAGCAAACAGCCCAGAGACCTAACCACTAAACTTCATAATGATTCAGTCGTGGCAATGCTTCCTTTTGTAGCTAAGTGGGGTGGGAACATCTAAAATTATGTAGCCACAAAACGTTAACAACAAACAGTTATATTGGGTCACAGCAAGGTCTGTCTAGCCCATTATTTTTTGTTTGACAACAACAGGTAATAGATGTCTGAGTAAGACTTTAGAACGGGCTAAGCGTGTAGTGATTATGATCCCTAGAGTAATCTGACATATAAATCAGGAGAGCTATGAAAATTTCTTCAGGCTTTAGCATGTCTTGGTGTGCTTGGATCTTTAGAAATTTTCTATTACGAATCTGTCCTTTGGCTTTTCAATGAACACAAACTTCTAGCAGCCACAACATGCTGTATCAAGGGGGGTTCGTGGCTTAACTTTGTGTGTGGGAAGTACTTTTTCCCCTTTATACGTTCTAAACTTGCCACGTACTGATTTCATTTGATGACCCTATTTCTTCTGTCAACAGAAGTGATGGACAGGAGTCACCTCTTCATTCTTCAGGCCACTTATGATTTGTACAGACTTCTGCTATCCTTGCTGAGTGAAAAGGCCTTTTTCATGGGAAAGCCATTGTACACCCTTGATTACACTGAGATCTTTCTCAGTATCTTTTTGAGATCTCTACTCACTTTGAGATGAGGAGAAAGAGTGATGACTCAGATGAGGGTGTGATTGCAACTTCTGGACTGCACACTGATTTCAAAGAACTCTTTACTAGTTGTAGTTTTTGCAAGGTTTTTCTAAAACTTTGTGTAGCTTGTCAAAGTTCATCATCCTTTCTGTATCTTCCTTATTTGGACGTACGTGTGTGTGTGTGTGTGTGTATGTGTGTGTGTGTGTGTGTGTATATATAAAATATATATATATAAATGAATGAAATTACAGGCCTGAACTCCACCCATGTTAATACAAATTCCTTATAATATCTAACTTTCACAAAGCACCATTTCGCCATCTGCACAGTTTATTGTTTCCTTAGTGGGAGAGCGATAGTTGAGTACAAAACTGCATGCCTTCCTTCCACCAAGCTTTTCATACGTCTGTTACGTTAGTATATTTATACGAAAAAAGGAACTTTTTTTGCCTCAATTTATATAAGACTTTAACTATCTGCATAAAAGCAATTTTGTTACTGCTTTTATTTTCTTCCTTGGATACTTCTCAAGTAATACTTGTTTTCCAAATCAAGATGTGTCCTTCTGAGTTGGGCTGACTTCCCTTGAACCCTTTTGAGAATTTTTTATTCTTCAGAAATTGTAGAGCTTCCTATAAATAGTAAAAACTTCAAATTTGTGTTTTGGGACCAAAAGAGCCCGTAACAGTGGGATCTCAGGATCTACCAAACTAAAGTTTATTAAGTAATTAAAAAGAAAGTAGCTTACAGAAACACAAGCCTATTAATAAGCGCAGAATTACTACCACATAAAGTTCCTTGGCATTGTGTGAGCAGCTTCCCAATTGTATAGTACTTAAAGTTAGTGGAACGAGTCAATAACTGACATTTACATAAGTAATCCTCCATGAAGTGTGAGCTAACAGGCTCCCTCTATGTCTGCATGCAATACTTAGCCTAGAAATGGTGGAGTCCTCACTACATCCCTATTTTAAAAAAGAGGCAAGTGTGGAAAAAGCACAGATGGTGAAACCTGAAGGAACTTGCCCTTCCCTAGTTCATTCTCCCAGAATCCAGTTTTGTTGAATGATAACGGCAAAGGGCCGGGGGGCGGCTGAGGAATAAGAAATCTTAACACAATTCTTTTGACAATCAGTTGTGGATTTTATCTCAACTGCTAAATACCTGAATACCAATAAGTCTTTTAAAAGGCTATCTAAACCATACTACTAAACTATTGAAATAGATTTGCTGACTTTACTCTGTAGTCTAAAAGCTTCCCATTTTACGTCTTTCTTTTTCTAATTGTCTTCACTAAATCCAGTTATTCTGGCTTCACTTTGTTGCTTTTGACTGTTTACACTGCAGTCAGAGATGGTAAGATGATCATCACCTTCCTAGTACAGAAATCACTTTAGATACCACCATTTACTATCAAGAAGTGCCCGACTTTTTAGCTCTGAAGCCTAGGTCGTAGAGTTGTGAAGTAAAGCCTGCAAAGACGTTATAGCTGTAAGAAAACCTTTCGTCTTTCCAACCAGAATTCTTCATAACAATGTAAAATAATTAATTTCAAAAACTGGCTTTCTTTGCCAGTATGTAGAACGTGGTAGCTGTGAGAAGACTGAGGTTTAGTTAAAGAACAGTTCATGTTTAAGAACTACACACGGCAGTCAGATTCCATTAATTTATTCCTATTTGCCAAGTCCACATTATAAATACTGCATTTTAGACTTCAGGAAACAAAGGTAAACAGCCAGATTTCACTTTATCAATCACATGTTTATAAAGGTATGGATTAAATTCCAACAGAAACGGCAAAGGCCAAAACACACACAGTTTCATCTCATCATAAAGTGGTTTGGGCTCATTATCTGATGTTTTACAAAAATAACTTCAACAGTAATACATGCAGATAACCCAACTGGCTGCATACAAACACACGTATTTTGGTTATATTTCACTGAATGACCAGTCAATTGGAGATTTGTCTGAAGGAACAAAACGTTTTTTCAAGCAGTCAGTTTTTTTTTTTAAACCCAAAAGCATTAAACAGTAATTTCCCTCCAATATTTTAGATCAGTGAAACATGTTGCTTCAGAAAAAAGAAATTGGACAACAATGCTACTGCACTTTATTTTATTGTTCAGTTTTTATACTTGGGCAAGTCAACATTCTCATTCAAAATGAAATTGTACAGAAACTGTTTAGAAACAAAGTTACCTAAAATCAACAAGTCTGATCTAGGCCAATTCCTGACTTCAGTGGGAGATCTGCCTGAGTAAGGAACACAGGATATGGCCTTCTGTTTGAAAGAATCTCATTTTCTCCAGCACATAGTTAACCAAGGAATCCCCTTTCAGTTAAAGAGTTGCTCCTAAGATCATTATTAAAATTAGCCAGTATGAAGCTCACTGAAACCTTGATCTTCTTAAATAAACCTCTCTAATGAACGACACAAATTCACACTAACAGTGAAGGCAGACTAACAGTGTATATCTTTTGTACAAAAAAAATCCACAATAAAAAATAGCACTCATATCAGATTTGTATTTGATTATTCACTTGTAAAATATTCCGGTTGTACTATACAGTACATGTACTTGCAAATAAATCATAGTAAGTTGGGTTTTTTTAATTCCTAACACTTGAAATGATTAAGAAAATTGCAGAAACACTATACATATTGCACTTTTCTGGTAAGCTGGGCTACTAGGTTTCATGGGAAAAACATCCAAGTACATCTACTGAGTAAAACAGCATTTCTCTAATCCAAAAAAGTAACTGAATTTCTCTCCTGCAGTTTTAATTAAAACAATATTTTTGTGGACGCTTCTAGGTTTTTTTTTTTCTTGAAGGATTGCTGTTTTACCTGTTACAGTATCCATATTAAAAAAAAAAAAACTAGGTAATGAATAGATTTAACATACAGTGCACTATCTTCCTTCAGTCACAAACAAAATGAAGACAACACAGATCATCAATATAGTTACACTTAGGCTTCAGGTTACTGTCGCTTTAAAAGA